CCCATGAAATAAACGACTTGACTTTGACAGGAGATACCACCTATCAGAGCACTATGACCGCTCGAAAATTTTAGTACAAATATAGAACACCAAATAAGGGAGAAAATAAATTGAATTTAATGAATCGCAAGGTTTGAAAAGAGTAAAGAACCTCGTTGATTGCCGACAGAACTTCGCTTGAAGCCGAATTGCTGCTAATACCAATTGGTGGCGCTGGTGGCGGAGGACAGTGATGGAGCGGCTCCATTTGGGCCGCCACTAACTGTGACTGCTCACCCGCCTATAATTATGAAGTTTATATACTGCCCAGTCAAAAGGCCTCTCTAAATTTGCATATTTTTGCAACAAACGCTTAACTGAGGAGTCGTGACAGAGCCGAACATGTATGCTAATTATGGCACACCTATGCATAGGGATGGGTGTACACACACGCAGCACATGTTATAAATCAAAATGGTATCACAGTTATGGGGCTTTTTTCAAAATAAAGAAGCTCTGGCCGAAATCAAATGTTCCAAGCTAACCAATACATGCAAAAAAAGGTACCATCCCGAGCTAATAAATACAGAAAGGAGTTCCACCCTCAGGCTAATTGATACATGAACGAAGGAGTACCGTCCCCGAGTTATTATCTGGCACACGCAGAAAGAAATAATAGCTGCTACTCAAATTTTTCATGGAACTTCAGCGGATATAAGACAGAAAGAATAGGATGATATTAAGCTGACTGTAGCAACCAGGTTGACCCTGGAAGCTTAAATGGCGAAGGCGCAATAAACTACAGCATGAGAGAACAGTACGAGAGGAGGTAAGAGAAGGAGATAAGACGTTTCGGTCCATTAAGTCATATACGTCTTAACTCAACAAGTACTGATGATGAGATTAGTATTGCTATAAATCTTATTATTAACTATTATACGAGAGGAAGAATCAGTTAGTTCTGTCTGTGTAACAAAATTCGAATCAGTCTGTGTAACTTCAGCCTGACTCTAAGTCAAAGTTATTATTTGATCATCGGTATATCTTCAGTACATTTCCCGCACTTGAGACTTCAATCTCCTTCCTTAAAATGAGGTGGCACCGTTCAGAAATAGCACGGTAAAACATTACTGGAGTCCCTCAACTTATAGAGGAAATCTTTGAGGTATGAATGCGTTCCATTTTCAGGAGCTTACTCATGGAATAGTCTCACATACACTGTACAATGGGTAATTAAACGATCCAGTTTCAACGACAATAATATAGGGAGTGGAGTAGTACAGGGAGCTTGCCAATGCAAAACAAAAGATATGAAAAGTTCCTGTCCCCCCACCTTACATCCAAATTTTCGGTCTATTTCCTCCAGTGTAAAATCCTATCAAAAAGCTAGTTTAAAGCTACTCTGAACGTCAGGCAGTGTACTTTTGGCCGAAAAATTTAACTTCCTATAGGAGAAAATTCACAAGACACTTATGTGTTTTTTTCCCTACAGAAACTGTTAAATGATAGATAATAGATGGACGAAGCGGATAATGGAATGGTACACGCGCACGGCCAAGCCAACAATGGGGAGGCCACCAGTGAGGTGGAGAGGCCCCATGGTACGCCTGTACGGTGCTACGTGGTCTCGGAAAGTGCAAAAAGGAATCGCATGGAGAGATTGCCAACTGCATCGATGGCATGACAACGAAAGTTGG